CTTTTTTAAAAAGGAAGGAACTCTTATAGTCTTATATTTAGGAATTCCTGAACCCTGCGTTTTGTGTTCAGGATCATCGAAATAAGAAAAAAATACTATTTCTACGAAAAATACCATTGATAGGTATTTTGATCGAGATACCGGAAAAGCACATTAGTTCTTTGTCTCTTTCAACATCTTTTTCCTGCTTATGTTTCGATGAAGACAAGTCGGCCTGAAAAGCTTGAAGACCTGACACATCAACATTCAACATGACCAAGACTCTAACTCTAGGAAGGTTTTTCTTTTTCTTTCTAGAAGCCCTAAGATGCTTGCTTAGTTATGAGTCTAGGTTAGGTAACCCAAATGATGATCATCTCACGCGCTCGTAAGATTGCCTAAAAGTCCTTTTTGTGAGTCGTCATTCCTCCTTTTAGTAGGTTGCATCAAAATTATATTTTCTACGAAAATCATGCATCATACTAAGTACCTATCTATTTTGGAGGGTTACCTATTAACCAAGAAAACTTATAGTTTTTCTGATAATTGATCCTAACAGTGATATAATCAATTATTTGACTGCACAGACCCGTTAATCAATTAAGAATCCTTTTAATCGACTAATTAGAGTTCCAGTAACTGTTAATCGATTATTTATACTGTTAATCGATTATGTTCAACAGAAACATGTTAATTTTCAAACTTTTAATCGATTAAGAGGTCATTTAATCAATTAAACCTGTTGAGAACAGAAAACTATAAATGGCCAGGTTTTTCTCATTTTGAGAACAACTTTGTTTTTACAATTTCTAAACTTAAATTTTCGAAATCCCAAATTCTCTGAGATATTCACCCTGTGCTTAAGTGTCAAACTATTTGAGAGAAAAACCTTTGGCTTGTGAAAAGTGTTCTTGGTTTCTTACTTTGCAACAACAAAAGCTTTTTCATACTTGTGCAAATTTGAGTGCACTAATCTGTTTTTCAATCCTTTGATTCCTCATACCCCTGTGAGTGAGTGTGAGTCAATCATCTTTTGGGTTGTTAGTGGCTTGTGTAAGCCAAAGAACTCTTCTTTAAGAGGTTCTTGCAAAAAGCTTGTTTCTTGTAATTTTGGTTGTACATCTCAAAGGTTTAGAGAGAAGGTTGTAATATCAGCTAGCTGAGGTTGGCGTGATATGTTCTTCACTGAGTATCTTGTTTGGCGCATCACGTAGCAAGATTGGGAACCGTTCGTGAACGGAGGGAAGTCAAGGCTTGGCAAAATAGGATTCGCATAGCAAGTATGAAGGGCTCAATTTGGAAGGGTGTGTGTAAAGAACATTTTCAAATATAGTGAAAAAAATCTCCCAAGATCAGAAGGGGAGGCCTGGATGTAGTTTGCAAGTGGACAGGCGAACGAACCAGGATAAAATATATTGATCTTCTTTCTCTTTCCCTTATCTTTTACATTTCAGGCATATCATGTTTCTTGCTTTCTTTAACTTGAAAGATTGAGTCTTTATTGATAAAGATTAAATCTTTGACATCAGTATAATTGTTGTGTGTTGTTTGTGATATTTTGTTTAGAGTTTGCTTGATTCTTGCATTGCTTACGTACCAAGAAACCATTTCACCAAGTTGTTGTTTCTGGTTTTTCTGCACTAAATAATCAATTGTCTGACTTCGTTAAACAATTAAATCTGCTTCTGTTAATCGATTGTATTTTCTGTTAATCGATTGTATTTTCTATTAATCGATTATTTTGGAATATTTCTGTTATTTTTTATTCTCTACGCATAAGTTTGAAAAGCGGACACATTGACCGCTCACACCTATTCACCCCCCCCCCTCTAGTTGTTATACTCTGATTGACCGTTACCCTAACAGGTAAATGGAATGATGAATCTATTTCTTCGTCCCTTTGCCAATAAATCCGAAGAATGGGGAGAAATAATAGGATGTAGGAAATAAAAATGTTGGGATTTGATTAAATCCGAAGAATTGGGATTTGATTCTTTTGTTTGTTACCATAAGGGTTAGAACTGAAGAATTCATGTCTTACTTGATCATTAGGTACTAAAACGTTTGAATTTTTTTTTTGACGCAAAAGAATCAATGTTCATTTGATCTTGATCCTTTCGGAGTGAAAACCAGCCTGCACCATACCTACAAGACTTTCCTGATAATATCCATAAATCACATGTTTTTCGTAAAATATGTACATTACTATATGTAAATTTGCAAGCATGATATACGTCGGTAATCCAATGCATTTATCCTTCTGAGTCAGAATAAATATTTTTTCGAACTTTTTCTTTCAAATTCAAAGTATATGTTTTTGCACGAATCTCAACAATTACACAAGTCTATATAACTAGAAAAGCGGGATGACCATGACGTGTACGTGTAGGATGAACCAAATCCTCATTGAATTTTATTTTTCTGTTAGAAGGGACTCGCACATGTTCTACAGTACCCCCTGTAAACACTCCACCGGTATGAAAAGTTCTTAATGTTATTTGAGTACTTGGGTCTCCAATAGATTTCCCCGCAATAATACCGTCAACTTCTCCCAATTCCACCAGGTCTCCATGAGTAGGGCTCCGACCATAACACAACCGACATATCCAAGATGTATTGCTACAAGTAAAGGGAGTTCATATAGATATTGGTTGTGTTTGAAAGATTATTAATCGATTGAGAAGTCTAATCCCAATATCTTGATTCCTAATGGCAATACATCGTAAACCTATATATATATCGTCTGCTAATGCACGACCAATTAATGTTTGAATAAAAAAAAAATTCCTCATCATTCCATCCCGAGTAATCACTGAAATGCCTTAAATGGTACCGCAATCTGTTTGACGTACAAGATATCCAACATTTGATGTTCATACCGCAGTATCCACAACTCCTTTACGTGCTCCATAACAAGAAATTATATATTTTGTAAAAGACAATCCTTCACGTAAATTGCTTTGAATGGGTAAATCAATCATTTGTCCTTGTGGATCCGACATTAACCCTCTCATACCTACTAATTGGTGTACTTGAGATGCATTTCCCACAGCTCCCGAAAAAGACATTATATGGATTGGATTGAAAGGATTAGTCCTCCTAAAATTAGGTTTCATTTCGTGTTGCAAATATTGACTTGTAGCATACCATATTTCAATGGATTGACATAACTTTTCTTCCGCATGCACCTTACCATAATGATTTTGTTTTTCCAAAATCAAACCTTGGTATTCAGCATCTTTGACTAGACATCCCTTAGAAGGGATTGTTAAAAGATCATCAATCCCTAATGAAATGGATGTAGCAGTAGCTTGATGAAACCCCAAAGTCTTTACTTGATCCAGAATGTGTGATGTATATGCCATTATGAAATGATCTATTAATCTTCTAATAAGTCGTTTAATGGCAGTTCCACCTATAACTTTATTGTGAAATACTAAATTGGCACGTTCTGCCATAAGTGCATCCATATTCCGCTCAGTGGAGTTCGGTTCAACAATGGATTTGAGTCAATGATTGGATACCCTATGAATGGGCTCGGGAAAATCCTTGTATAGATTCTTTGTTTTCTCGATAAAAAGAAATATGACCAACAGTGGTTCAAATATATATATACAATGTATTTTTTTTATACTTCTGACTACTAGATAATGCTCATAAATATTATGATAGGTACCTAAAGATTCGTAGTGAACTTCGATAGGAGCTTCTCTTGACGAAATAACGCGTTGATCTAGTCGCAACCGGAGCCACAAAGGACTGTCGAAATTTATATTTTTGTCGATCAGTTCCAATTGCATCATAGGAATAAAAAAATAAGGTTTTTTTCGTATAAATAATATTTATTTTTTACGCAAATAACTCGATGATTCCTGCTCATTAATATGTAAAGCCCAATAAGCATATCTTGAGTTGGTACGGAAATGGGATCCCCAATATCCGAAGACAAGAGATTCGTATGAGAAAACATAAGTAAACGAACTTCTGCTTCAGCCTCCAAGGATAAAGTCACATGAGCAGCCATTTGGTGCCCATCAAAGTCTACATTGAATCCCTTAAAAATAATGGATGTAAACAATTAGCACGTTCTTCTACTAAAATGGTTTGGAATGCATGTATGCCTAATCTATGCAGAGTGGGTGCTCTATTCAGCAATATGGAATGTCCCCGCATAACGTCTTGAAGTATTTCCCATACAATGGGTTCCTTTTTCCGAACTTTACTCTTAGCAATTCCTATGTTCGAAGCAAATTGTTTTCGAATTAAACCACGAATTACAAATGTCTAGAAAAGTTCTATTGCTATGTCACGGGAAATCCAAATCGATGTAATGAAAGTGATGGACCTACGACAATTACAAAACTCCCCGAATAATCAACTTGTTTTCCAAGTAGAGTCTCACGAAATCGTCCCTCTTTGCCCTCAATTAAATCTGAAAACGATTTGTAAACCTTATTATGACCATCTCTCATTGGTTGTCCGCGGATTCCATTATCAAGAATTGTATCTACGGCTTCTTGTACCAATTTCTCCTGACACATGACTAATTCCCTTGGCGTAGATCTACTTGTTGTTAATAGATCAATAAGGGTATTGTTCCGATATATAACTCTTATATAGAGTTCATTAGTTTACCTCCGTATATTTGAATAATAGTTCTCAATTCGGGAGGAAGAACAGGTAAGAGACATAAAACCATTCATTCTGGTTCTATATTTGTTCGATAAAATGCTTAGCTAATTCCATGCGCCGAACTAAAAAATTATTTCTTCTTCCCACTTTTCGATCTCCCCATTCATTTTCATTGTTCACGGATCCCTCTTCCGCTAATCCTTTCCATTCTACCAATGAAGAATCAATATGAATTCTCAAATCTAGATCGGCTAATTGTTCTCGGATAGCACCCGCTCCACTAGAAATTTCTGGATTTCAAAATATATTGAAACCTTGGGTAGTAAACAAAAGTGGGATGTTGTATTTCCAGGATTGGATTTCATATTCAAATGAATCTCGTAATCGTAAGAAAGTGGGTTTTTTAACTAACGGCCTAGCAAATGAAAAATTTGGATAGGATCCTATCCAATAGGACTCCCCTTTCAAAATCGGACGTGAAAGTTTCCTCTCATCCAGCTAAAGTAATTACACCAAAAAAGGGGTTTCCTCTTTCAAGTTCTATAAACTCTAATCTAAAAAGAGTTTTACTCTTTACTCAATTTCTCAATACAATAATGACCAAGCAAGATTTCATTTATGCATTCTTGTTTTATTTCGATTTTATTTTATAAATTATTTGTCCAATTTTCAATTAGAACAAAAATTAAATGTAAAATTTTTGAATAGTCTACCCCCTCGAATAAGGAACATTTTTATTTTACGATTAAAGGAATATCTTGGAATTTATAAGAGATTTCCTTGTATATGTATCACTCTATTCGATCTTTTAGGTCCAGTAGGTCCAATGTAACACCCTAATTTTCTCTTTTCCTAAGTGTAGTGAGATTCAGGAAGTCTATAGATTGTTGGATGTTTCTCGCTTGAGCGAGAGAGCCTCGCCCAAGATAGAGACCCTCGTCCAAGCTAGAGGTGCAAAGTTGCTCCCAATATTTCTCTGGGATTCTCTCCTGAGCGAGATAATTAGCTCGCCTAAGCGAGAGGAAGGTTGTGAAGGCTGAAGGATTCTCGCTTGAGTGAGTGTTGGCTCGCTTTAGCGAGGGGGAGACTATAAAAGCTGAAGGATTCTCCCATGAGTGAGAGTTGGCTCGCTTAAGCTAAAGGGAGACTGTGAACACTGATGGGGGAAAAGAGTCAACTAGAAGCTAGAGAAGAGGTAAATCACTTGATTTTAACACTCAATCTAGTTTGAAACTCAACTTGTTTTACTTGGGTCTCTTCTCTTATCATGAAAAACCATTAAACCCTCTCTTTTGAGTTGTGGTTTGTTTTTATCTTGCTTTTCTATTGAAGACTCGTGGTTTAGAGTTTGTATTCGGAAATGGGGATGATTAGTGGTTGATTCATGAAAACCCCAAACCCAAAACGAAAATGGTGTTAAAAGGGGTGAAATGTTAGGTTAGGAAAGTGGTTTATGGGTTTTAATGTTGAGTAAAAAGTGAAGGTGTATGATTTACATGCTTGAAATTCCGAATGGAGATGGTTTTGAAAACCATTGAAATATGAACCTCTTTTATGGTTGAATATGTAGTGTGAGTTGTTTATGTGATATTGTGAATAAATGACTGATTATTGTTGTTGTGTGGTGGGAATGACGAAAGATCCTAAGCTTGGAGGAGGTGAAGGAGGAACTTGCAAAGTTACCAAAAACCAACCCCAACACTCACCAAGGTAAAGAGGAGCATTATACTTGTATATTCTGTAATAAATAGTGTTGAATTTTCTGTTTAATCATGGATTATACGAGAAATAAAAGGAAAACCTATTTTTAGCTCACCTCAGTGGTGTAACGACTTTGGCTCAAGTTATGTAGCAAACTTTGGCTCAAGTTATGTAGCAAACTTTGGCTCAAGTTATGTAGCAAGCTAGGGCTCAAGGTATGTAGCAAGATGTGGCTCAAGCTATGTAGCAAACTTTGGCTCAAGTTATGTAGCAAACTTTGGCTCGAGTTATGTAGCATGCTTTGGCTCCAGTTATGTAGCAAACTTTAATGTTGGTTCATTAGAACTAAATAAACCGATACCTAGAATTCCGATTAAAAAAAAATATGGAATGAGCACGAGTTAATAATTCCATATTAATTCGAACCAATCTATGCGCTCCGATTTTTAATAAGATTCTGGCTAAAATCATACAAGTGTTGTAATGTGCTTCTCCATGGGTGTCTGGTAACCATGTATGGAAGGGCATAATCGGTGATTGGACAACAAAAGCAATAAGAAATCCTATAATAAATATTATTTCAAGTCCTATGTAACACCCTAAATTTTTAAGCCTTTAAAATTATAGTATCAGTCCTGAGACCCTCGCTTGAGCGAGAGAGAGACTCACCTAGGAGGGTGAAATACTGGACTATACTGGAGAATCCTCGCTTGAGCGAGAGATTCTCGCTTGGGCGAGAAAGGCTCACCTGGGAGGGTGAAATCCTGGAGTATACTGGAAGATTCTCGCCTGAGCGAGAGTTGTCTCGCCTGGGCGAGAAATATCATTTTGGGGCTGTTGGCACTGTGAGATTCTCGCTTGAGCGAGAGGGTCAGATTTGAGTTTTTAAAATGGGCGGGATTTTCTCGCTTGAGCCAGAATCCCTCGCTTAAGCGAGAACCCGACGAGACAACATTTAATGAGAATCCCCTAAACACAATCTAGGGTTTAGAAAAGAGGAAGAGTGAGAGAAGAGAGCTTTTCAAGGGCAAAAAGCTTGGATACTCATCTAAGAGCTTGAGAAGAGGTAAAACTCTAGATTTTAACTCTCTTTTTCTCTCTTAAACTCACTTTGGGGTATGTTGGATCTCTTCTCAAAAATGAAGAAAACCATGGAAACTCATCCTTTTGAGTGATGGTTCATTTTATGTCATTCTTACCTTGTACACTCTTGATTTGGAGATAGTATCTCAAGAATGGAAAGGGTTGTGGGTTGACTCATGAAAACCCCAAAAACCCTAAAAGTGAAAATGTGGTAAAAGGAGAGAATGAGTAAAATGCTAGAGGTAGAAGATTAGTTTACCTCCAAATATTGGAATACGAGATGTTTATGCATGTTTTAGATGGTTGAATATTTATGATGAATATTTTGTATGATTAAAGGATACAATATAAGTTGTTTAAGCGATATTTGGAATAAATGACTAACATTGTGTTATGTGGTGGGATGAGGAAAGATCCTAAGGTTGGATGCGGTGTCGGTGGAACTTGAGAAGTTGCCAAGAACCAAACCCAACACTCACCGAGGTAAGGATAAGTCTTTAATTGTGAATTTGAAATCGAAAAGGTGTAATTTCTGATTATGCAATGATTGAGCTGTAAAGTACGCATTTAGTATAAACATATATGGGTGTGTTTATATTAAAGTAGGCGTATGTTTACGGAAAAGAAAGATGTGCAGTTCTGGTTATGTGATGATTGAGTTGTGAATCCCGTAATTAGTATAAACATATATGGGTGTGTTTATACTAATGTGGGCGTGGATTTACCGGAATTGTTTTATGGTGAAATTAAGGAAAAGGAAATATATTTTTAGCCGACCATGAATGGTTAGCGACTCTGGCTTGAGTATATAAGCCAAACTCTGGCTTGAGTATATAAGCAAAACTCTGGCTTGAGTATGTAAGCAAAACTCTGGCTTGAGTATATAAGCACGTTTTATTTAAAATGGAAATGAGAATCTGCTTTTAGCTAACCCCGAGGGGTGTAGCGACTTTGGCTCAAGTTATGTAGCAAAGTAAAATGAATTTCAAAAATTCTTTACTAACCCAATTTCTTATGTGGATTATCTTATGATGATGTTTATTTGAATTAACGACTTACTCCTTTGTATGTTTTGTACTTGTCATCGATAATCCCATTGCAGATAAACAGGTGACATGAGGGGGAATTCATTTTTGGTGGAGTCTTAGGGAGCTTTACATTTTGGATTCATTCGCATGCATTATTTGGCACATGAGTGCATAGTTGATATTTTGAAATATGATATAATTAACGTCATAGATAAATTTGTAAACTTGAGATTGTAACTCTGGATATGTGTAGCTATGGGCATTTTGGAAACCCATAGCTAATTATATGCGGTGGTTACAAGGTTTAATTAATGCGAATTATGTTTTTCTGTCGAATGACTTTGTATATTAATATTGAGATAGGTTGCGAAGAGGAAAATAATAATTGAATTAAAGGTGTTCAATTAGTAATGTGAGTCAAGAGAGATTGCATGTAATTGAACTAAATCGAGAAAAATATTTCAATGGTAGAATTTCGGTCCTTACATCCTACGTGATACGATCGATTAGTTAACATTTCAAAATTTAATGTTGGTTCATTAGAACTATATAAACCGATACCTAGAATTCCCATTAATAAAAAAATAGAACCCCCCGCAGTGTATAAAAGAAACTTTGTAGCCGAATACAAACGTTTCTCCCCCCCCCCCACATGGATAAAAGTAGATAAACGGGAATTAATTCTAATTCCCACATGATGAAAAAAAGTAAAATGTCTCGTGACGAAAAAGGTCCTATTTGACCGCTATACATTGCTAACATTAGGAAATGGAATAATCGGGATTCTCGAGTAACCGGATGAGCCGCTAAAGTAGCTAAAGTGGTGATAAATCCAGTCAGTAAAATGGGTCCTATAGAGAGTCCATCTATTCCGAATCTCCAATAAAAATAAAAAAATTGGATCCGTTTATAATTCTCCGTCAGTTGGATTAATGGATCATCCAATTTGAAATGATAACAAAATGCATAGGTTGTTAGAAGGAGATCCACTAAGCATATACAAATTGTATACCACCTAATTACCTTATTTCCTCTATGAGGAAATAAGAAAATTAAGGAACCCCCGGCTATTGGCAAAACTACAACTATTGTTAACCAAGGAAAATAATTCATGATAAAAATAAGATACACTTGGGCCAGAAAAACCCGTACTCAAAATAGATAAATTAAAGATTGTTTTTTTATATTTTGATCACGGGTTTTTTTCCAATAAAAAACATATTCGTGTGGTGTTTTTTGAAACGTGTCAAAAAGAGTTGTTTCATGCCATAAATAAACTCGAACGCTTAAGAAATCTGTTGGACAAGCAGATTCACACCTCTTACCACCAACACAATCCTCTGTTCTTGGGGCAGAAGCAATTTGCTTAACTTTACATCCGTTCCAAGGGATCATTTCTAATACATATGGGACAAGCTCACACACATTGAGTACATCCTATACATGTATCATAAATTTTGACTGAATGTGACATTGGATCTATATTAATTTTTGAACATCAAAAATTTAAAATTTTCGATCTAGTAAACTTTTGTATCAATTGATAAGAAGAAGGCCAAGATACTTTGATTTCTTACGTTTGACAAACATGCTAATTTGAATTGATGAATATTACACTCTTATGTCTAATTTCAACTTTTTTGAATTAATTATAATTGTCAATATTATTTATTCAACAAATTCGATTGATTGATATAAGTTGATTTTCTGTTGCGAGAAATTGAGGAAACAATAGCCGATCAGATAGCTGCTTCAGCGGCTGCAATAACTATAACAAAAATTGAAAAAATATTTCCTTTTAATTGGAGACTATAAAAAAATCAGAAAAGGTTATGATCGATTAGTTAACATTTCAAAATTTAATGTTCATTCATTAGAACTAAATAAACCGATACCTAGAATTCCCATTAATAAAAAATATAGAATGAGCGCGGGGTAATAATTCCATATTAATTCGAACCAATCCATACGCTCCCATTTTTAATAAGATTCCGGCTAAAAGCATACAAGTGCTGTAATGTGCTTCTCCATGGGTGTCTGGTAACCATGTATGGAAGGGTATAATCGGCGATTTGACAGCAAAAGCAATAAGAAATCCTATATAAAATATTATTTCGAGTCCTACGGGATACGATCGATTAGTTAACATTTCAAAATTTAATGTTGGTTCATTAGAACTATATAAACCGATACCTAGAATTCCCATTAATAAAAAAATAAACCCCCCCCCCCCCCCCCCCCCCCCCCCCCCCCCCCGCAGTGAATAATGTAAGGACCCAAATTCTACCCTTGAAAATTTCTCTTTTATTTTCATCCTTTATGCTTTATTTCCCAATATTATGTCATACATACATTTCTTTTAATCTTTAAATCATCCATTCCTTGAGTTATCTAATAAACCTAAACATACAATTTTAGTTTCATACGTTAACTACCTTTAATTGCAGAAAAACATAATTCGCATATATATCATAATAAGGGTCATCACATGTCAAATCGAAGGGTTACAAAACTAATGTACCCATAATTACAATCAAAGTCAACAAATATTCAGGTGGTGCAAGAATAATTAAAGACATAATGTCTTGATCGTTAAAGTCGCTAAAGCTCCTAATCAAGCATCTCTAACCATCTGTTTATCTACAATGGGATTAACATTGACAAATACACAGAAAACACAAAGGAATAAGTCATTAACAGAATAAATGTCAATATACGCTAATCCACATTTTACTAATATTAAGTAAGAAATTTAAAATAATAATGCATAGAACTATTACACTAGTTTATATATATGTTACAGTGCTACATAACTTGAGCCAAAGTTTGCTACATAACTTGAGCCAAAGTGTGCTACATAACTTGAGCCAAAGTTTGCTACATTACTTGAGCCAAAGTGTGTTACATAACTTGAGCCAAAGTTTGCTACATAACTTGAGCCAAAATTTGCTACATAACTTTAGCCAAAGTTTGCTACGTAACTTGAGCCGAAGTATGCTACACAGCTTGAGCCAAAGCTTGCTACATAACTTGAGCCAAAGCTTGCTACATAACTTGAGTCAAAGATTGCTACACAACTTGAGCCAAAGCTTGCTATATAGCTTGAGCCAAAACTTGCTACATAACTTGAGTCAAAGCTTGCTACATAACTTGAGCCAAAGTTTTCTACATAGCTTGAGCCAAAGCTTGTTACATAGCTTGAGCCAAAGCTTGTTACATAGCTTGAGCCAAAGCTTGCTACATAACTTGAGCCAAAGTCGCTACACCACTTGAGGGTAGCTAAAAATATTTTTTCTTTTCATTGATTCCCAATCAATTTATAACCAGAAAATCCACGCATTTTCTTATACGATGTACAAGTTAAAGACTTATCCTTACCTTGGTGAGCGTTGGGGTTGGTTTTTGGTAACTTTGCAAGTTCCTTCGTCACCTCCTCCAACCTTAGGATCTTTCCTGATTCCCACCATACAATAACAATAATCACATAAATAACTTATACTACGTATTCTTTCATAAAAGAGGTTCATATTTGCAATGATTCTCAAAACCATTCCCTTTTGGAATTTCAAACATGTGAAACATACACATTCACTCTTAATCAACATTAAAACTCATAAACCACATTTTCTAACCTAACATTTTCCCCTTTCACCTCATTTTCGTTTTAGGTTTTGGGTTTTTCAATAATCAACCACCAATCAACCCCATTTCCAAATACAAACTCTAAACCATGACTTTTCAAGGGAAAAGTTAGATAAAACGAACCACAACTCAAATGAGAGGGTTTAATGGTTTTTCAAGATAAGAGAAGAGATCCAACAAGAACAAATAGAATTTCAAAACTAGATAGAGTGTCAAAATCAAGTAATTTACCTCTTTTCTAGCTTCTTGTAGCTTCTACACGAATCCTTGCTCTCAAAATCGCCTCTACCTATCCTTTCTCCCAAAAGTTCTTCCCCTTTTCGTGTTTGGGGCCCTATTTTAGGGTTCAGACTTTTAGATTCTCTCCCAAGAGAGAAAACGTCGCCCATGCGAGAAATCCCTGCCTTTTGAAGTTTCAAACTCTGACACTCTCGCTCTAGCGAGAATTCAACAGCCTCTGCACACTCCTCTCGTTTAGGCGAGCCAAATCTCACTCGGGCGAGAATTCCAGGGAAAATCCTGGGAGAAATCCTAACAACCTCGCTTGGGTGAGGCTCCTCTCGCTCCTCTCGTACATGGACGGTAGTTGGAGTCGGTGGCTTTCCTAGGGTTTCCTCATCTGGAATCCTGGGGAAGAGGATCAAGTTGGCCCTAGCGAACAGCTTGATGCACTATCTCCCTTCAACCCTTTGAGCAAAATACGGCCAAAGGAAATAAAATTCATGGAGCGAACTCATCGTGTCCACCCCGTAGGAACTACGAGATCACCCCAAGGAGGCCTTCGGCATCCCGGGGGTCGTGGACCGACCATAAAACCCTATTCAAAAAAGGCAGAACGCATTAGTTACCCTCTCTCGGGTTGTAAAGAAAGGGTCGAAGAAGGGCAATCGCTCATTCTTAAATTCTTAAAACCAACATTCTTAATACCAAAGAATCGGGCAGAAAAAAAGGGGGGAGCTCTCCGTTCCTGGTTCTCCTGTAGGTGGATCCTCTAGAACCACAAGAATCCTTAGTTAGAATGGGATTCCAACTCAAAAACTTTTGAGATTTTGAGAAGAGTTTCTCTTTGGAGAGCAAAGTACGATGAAAGTTGTAAGTTGTGCTCGGGGGGAGTTATTGTCTATTGTTGAACTCTATGGTAGAATCAGTCGGGACCTGAGAGGCGGTGGTTTACCCTGTGGCGGATGTCAGTAGTTTGAGTTCACTTACCTCCAACTCGTGAACTTAGCCGATACAAAGCTATATGATAGGACCCAATTTTTCCGATTCGTCTGTTTGATCTGTGCTATTATTTATCATTCATGGACGTTGATAAGATCCTTCCATCTAGCAGCACCTTAAGATAGCATAGCATTCAAGTTCAAGTTAAGGGCCATGTTCAAACGAGGAAAGGCTTATGGTGGATACCTAGGCACCCAGAGACGAGGAAGGGCGTAGTAAGCAAAGAAATGCTTCAGGGAGTTGAAAATAAGCGTAGACCCGGAGATTCCCGAATAGGTCAACTTTTCGAAATGCTTTTGAATCCACGGGCAAGCAAGAGACAACCTGGCGAACTAAAACATCTTTGTAGCCGGAGGAAAATAAATAAAAAGCGATTCTCGTAGTAGCGGCGAGCAAAATGGGAGCAGCCTAAACCGTGAAAACGGGGTTGTGGGAGAGCTATACAAGCGTTGTGCTGATAGGCGAAGCGGTTGAATGTTGCACCCTAGATGGCGAGAGTCCAATAACTGAAAGCATCACTAGCTTAAGCTCTAACCCGAGTAGATGGCGAGAGGACCACCTTGCAAGGCTAAATACTCCTAGGTGACCAATAGTGAAGTAGTACCATGAGGGAAGGGTGAAAAGAACCCCCATTGGGGAGTGAAATAGAACATGAAACTGTAAGCTCCCAAGCAGTGGGAGGAGCCCAGCCCGAGGCTCTGACCGCGTGCTTGCTGAAGAATGAGTAGACGAATCATAGGCAGTGGCTTGATTAAGGGAAACCACTGGAGCCGTTGCGAAAGCGAGTCTTCATAGGATAATTGTCACTACTTTTGGACCCGAACCTAGGCGATCTATCCATGACCAGGTTGAAGCTTGTGTGAAACTAAGTGGAGGTCCGAACTGACTGATGTTGAAGAATCAGCGGATGAGTTGTGGTTAGTGGTGAAATGCCACTCGAGCCTAGCGCTATCTGGTTCTCCCCGAAATGCGTTGAGGCACAACAGTTGAGTGGACATCGAGGGGTAAAGAACTATTTTGGTGCGGGCAGCGAGAGCGATACCAAATCGAGGCAAACTCTGAATACTAGATATGACCTCAAAATAACAAGGGTCAAGGAGGTAGGGGTAACAGCCCAAATCACCAAATAAGGCCCCAAAATGACCGCTCAATGATAAAGGAGGTAGGGGTGTAGAGACAGCTAGGAGGTTTGCCTAGAAGCAGCCACCCTTGAAAGAGTGCGTGATAGCTCACTAATCGAGCGCTCTTGGGCCAAATATGAATGGGGCTAAGCGATCTTCCGAAGCTGTGGGATGTAAAAATTTATCGGAAGCGGAGCATTCCGCCTTAGAGGGAAGGACCCGCATGAGTAGTGGTGGATGAAGCAAAATGGAGAATGTCGGCTTGAGTAACGCAAAGGTTGGTGACAATCCAACATATAGGAAGCATATAGGAAGCATATTTCTGTTCAATCTCTTTCTTCCTTTTTAGATCAGCGGGAAAATATTTCTGAAGGAACTTCTGTTTGAATGTACCGCAAACAATCACTTGGCCCTCCGTTTCCATTTGGCGTCGGGTCATCTCCCACCAGTTTCCGGCTTCATTTGCCAGCATATAGGAAGCATAGGTTACCTTTTGAACATCACCGCAACCCATGGCTCGGAATATCCTCTCCAAGCTTTGAACCCATTCATTCGCAACATCCGGAGCAAATCTTCCTTGGAACTGTTTAGACTTCTGTTTACAGAACTCATCCAATCCCTGATACTCGGCCGATCCAGGTGGGACTAAAGGGTGTGAACTCGGACTGGGCGCTGCGTTCTGATTCAAATTCTACAAATTCTCATTCAGTTGTTGCAATGCAGCTACCATTTGAGCTAAAAGATCATTTGGGACATTCTGACTGGTTCCTCTTCCTCTACTAGCCATGTGTACCTGTACTCATTTACTTGGCAGTAAACCAATTTTAACTAGACAAGGATCACATAATCACATAGCAATTTGTACAATCCATATAATTCAAGCACATAAAGGTCACAAAGAAGCATGTAAGGCCATACCCTATGCCGCAGGATTAACTATGCTCTGATACCATATTGAAAAGACCCAAATTCTACCCTAGAACATTTTTCTCATTTTAACTCATGAAAACATTCATTTACCTTATATCTTATGATTAGTAACGTAAGGTACGTTTCATTAGTTACCTTGATTATTTTCTGATCAATTATCATGTAGTATTCATACATACATCCTTAAGGCAGAAAAACATAATTATATTAATAATTCCCCATGGGTACTAAGAACCCATGAGTATAACTCTCCAAAAATAACAATACACATGGTCACTAATATCCAAATAAATAAAAACCGTAGTTACAATCGTTCGAATCTGCAAGTAGTCAGTTAGAGTACAAAAACGCAAATAAATGAAATCCAGGGTCTAAGCATCTAATGCTCCAAACCAAGCATCCTTAATTTATCCAATTACCTGCAATGGGATTAATGGGATTATCATAAACAATACATTGAAGCACAAAGGAGTAAGTCTTAAATTCAACAAAATTCAAATGATAATCCACATTAACTAAGGTTAGATAAATAGTTATATCGTGACATATAAATAATACTTTGATATATATATATATATATATATATATATATATTCCACCTTGTTATCTTCATCATTTTGCATTTTACTCGAACTCATCGATATCCCTTCCTACTATCCATACATAATTTCATCCTTTCTTTTCATATTCAACTATCCCATTTATGTTAATCTCAAACCATTTATTTTACCACATGGAACAAAATAGACGTTGATATGAATAGCCAATACGACAAGGGCAAGTCATACATTACTACGAATAGCTGTTACCACAAGATAACTCATACATTGCTACGAATAGCCGTTACCACAAGGCAACTCATACAGTGCTACGAATAGCCGTTACCACAAGGTAACTCATACATTGCTATGAATAGTCGTTACCACCAGGTAACTCATACATTTCTATGAATAGCCGTTACCACAAGGTAACTCATACATTGCTACGAATAGCCATTACCACAAGGTAACTCATACATTACTACGAATAGCCATTACCTCAAGGTAACTCATACATTGCTACGAATAGCCGTTACCACAAGGTAACTCATACATTGCTAGGAATAGTCATTACTTCAAGGTAACTCATATATTCCTACGAATAGCCGTTACCACAGGGTAACTCATACATTGCTATGAATAGTAGTTACCACAAGGTAACTCATACATTGCTACGAATAGTCGTTACCACAAGGTAACTCATACATTGTTACGAATAGCCGTTATGCTACATCACTTAAGCCAAAGTTTGCTACATCACTTGAGCTAAAGTCGCTAACCAATCATGGTCGGCTAAAAACGAGTTTTCTTTTAATTGATACACCATCAATTCATAAACAGTAAATCCACACAATCATTATTACAAACATACCCTATGTTAATAATAAATAAGCGATTCACAACTTGATTATTATCCACAACCATAAAATCCACACATTTTCCATTACAATGCGCAAGTTATTGACTTATCCATACCTTGGTGAGTGTTGGGGTTGGTTCTTGGGTAACTTTACAAGTTTCCTTCGCTACCTCCTCCAACCTTAGGATCTTTCCTCTTTCCCACCATATAACAACAATGTTAGTCATTTATTCAAAATAGCACATGAATAACTCATATTTCATCTTTAACCATACAAGAGATTCACACATTTTCAATGTTTCTAAACTACTATCATTAAGAGTTACCAAACATCTAAAACATACATATTCATCTCATATATCAACATTAGAGCACAAACTGATCTTCTACATCTAACATTTCACTCATTTTCCTCTTTGCTCATATTCTCATTTTGAAGGTTTTGGGGTTTTCATGAATCAACCAACAAAACCTTTCCATTCATCAAATACCAACTCCAAACCAAGATTTTACAAGAGAAAAACAACATAAAACGAACCATAACTCTAAGGGATGAGTTTCCATGGTTTATCACGTTTTGAGAAGATATCCCATACACCCAAAAACGAGTTTACAAGGGAGAAAAAGAGTTAGAATCAAGAGATTTACCTCTTCTCAAGCTTCAAGATGATTCTCACGAGTTCTTTCTCTCAAAATCACCTTCTTCTCTCTTCTCTATCAATTTCTAACCCTAAAAATGTTTAAGGGTTTCCATTTTAAAGTGAAATCGTCGTGTTCTCGCTCAAGCGAGCCCATTCTCGCTCAAGCGAGAAAATCCCGCCTTTTTAAAATTTCAGATATGATGCTCTCGCTCAAATGAGGGATTCTCGCTCAAGCGAGGATCCTTCAGTGTCAACACACTCTCCCTCGCCCAGGCGAGCCAACTCTTGCTCAAGTGAGGCTTCTCTTGCTCAGGCGAGTCACATCTCGCTCAAGCGAGGCTACCAGATAAAATCCTGGGAGAAACACTTACACTCTCGCTTGGGCGAGGCTCCTCTCGCTCAAGCGAGAATCCTGTAGTATTCCCCCAGATTTTCCTTAGTTACAAAGTTTTAGGAAAAATAAACTTATGGTGTCACAGTAGCTGCTTCAGCTTCAGCCACTCAAATTTTCGATATTCCTTTTTATTTCTCATCAAATGAATGACATATTCTTCAGGAAATCCTATCTATTTTTAGCATGATATTGGAAATCTCATTGCTATTACCCAAACAAGCATGAAATGTATGCTTGCATATTCGTCCATAGGTCAAATCAGATATGTCATTATTGGAATAATTGTTTGAGACTCAAATGGTGGATATGCAAGCATGATAACTTATATGTTGTTCTATATCTCCAAGAATCCATGAACTTTTACTTGCATTATAACATTTGGTCTACGTACCGGAACTGATAACATTCGAGATTACGCAAGATTATACACGAAAGATCCCTTTTTGGCTCTCTCTTTAGCCCTATGCCTCTTATCCTTAGGAGGTCTTCCTCTACTAGCAGGTTTTTCCGGAAAACTTCATTTATTTTGGTGTGGATGGCAGGCAGGCCTATATTTCTTGGTTTCAATAGGACTACTTACGAGCGTTTTTTCTATATACTATTATATAAAAATAATCAAGTTATTAATGACTGGTCGAAACGAAGAAATATCTCCTCACATGTGAAATTATAGAAGGTCCCCTTTAAGATCAAACAATTCCATTGAATTGTGTATGATTGTATGTGTGATAGCATCTAGTATACCCATTTTTAGCTTCTAGAATCTATTTCTTAGTTCAAGATCCCTCTTATCTTACTAACTGGAATCAAAGAATTAGTAGATCTGTTTTGCCTAAAATGGGAATGGGCTAGGGTTATTAACTTATAGTCTATAATCTGATGATCGAGTCGATTCCATGATTATAAGTTCATTCAATATCGGACCAGACCGAAATAGGGTTATATACATTCTCCTTATGCGAAGGAGTCATTCGAGCGTATCTAAATAGATACAATGTTTACAAATAGATCCTTGCATCGTTCCATTCCATTTAGGATTAGGCATAATCAGACCTACTTTTTACCTATCTCTCATTATTTGGACCCTATTCACCTCTTTTCTTTTGGCTTCTATTGAATCGAGAAATAAGTTTGATTGTCCATATTTTTGATAGAATATATATATTAGGTATCCTCAGGATATTTAAAGTCGAACCGATTGGATGTCCGACTCGGGCCAATATGACATGACCTATCAATAAAAATACTCTAACACTCCAACCCTGTCATATATTCCATACATAACACTAGAGAGATGTCATATTCAAGGAATACATTTCACTTTCAAGATGCCTTGGTGGTGAAATGGTAGACACGCGAGACTGAAAATTTCGTGCTAAAGAGCGTGGATGTTTGAGTCCTCTTGAAGGTATAATATTGAGATCTCTTATTGAATTGGAATAAGTTCGGCAGCGGATCATGAAATCTTGGTGATATTCTCTCTCAAATGAATGGGGAGTCCATTTTGAAATCGTTCGCCCTGCAACCCCCCCGCCCCCCTCGCTCCTGAGTATATGCCTCAACAGGAATTAAACATAGGTAGATTGATACAATAGAAACCTCTGGTAAAATGCCCACCCATACAGGCGGATAAAGTACATTACATAGTCTGTTTTAGGGATTGACGACTTACCCATTCAATGACTGACTTTGACACTGAACGTTCCCAAAATGGGTACTATACTCTCGGGTCGGGTGAATTCAATAATAGATGTCTGTTGGCATTCCAACCTTCCTTCTCCCTTTAGGGCCTATCCGAAAAGAAAGAGAAGTCAGTACTTCTTGGTCGTGAATATTTGAATACGACAAATCGCCCGTGGATATCTTTGCTTCGGAACAAAACAATTAGAATAAGGCTCGGTCAAATCGAATGTGTATTATCGATATAGGAGATATTTCAATTGAGAAAGCATGGTCTACTTATTTTATTTCGTTATTTAGTTAAACCTATCATTCGATATATTATGGGTTGCCCGGGACTCGAACTCAGAACTAGTCGGATGGAGTTGAAGATTTATTTGTTAATCAGATTCAATAGTAAAACAAGAAAAAATCCCTCCCCAAGATGTACTTGCATTTTTCATTGCACATGACTTTGC